GGTGACTGGTAGTGGGCCATAGGAGGGCCACCAAAGGCTGGGCTGACGTCAAGGGGCTTCAGGCTTTTACATAGCATTTGCATTCAAATGAAGGGTCATTTCACTTCCTCAGGGACTTGTTCCACTCCAGGCACCTTCTCCTCCGGCTCCGAGGCTTTTCTGCGCCGCTTCCGGGATTCTTTTGCTTCCTTAGCACCAGTTTTCACTTTTGGAGGCAGTTGTTCCTCAAGAGATTTCTGACCAGCTCCTTCAAAATGAGACAGGGACACGCAGACAAAGTCTTGCTTTCCTTACACTGAGGCCTGCCTTTCGCTGGTCTTCCAGAGCCCAGCCTGCTCTCCTGGTCTCTGTCTCTGCCCATATTCCCCTGGTACGGGTTTTCCACTTGGCCCTGGCCCATCCTGTCACTGAAAAGGACTTTCCCTTCTTCCACACACTCCTCAAGGAGGGGGCTTTGTTTCCATGGACAGATATTTGTTTCACAAATGTATATTCAGTATCCATACTGTGTCAGGAAGTGTTGTAGGCACTGGGGATACAGCACTAACAAACATTTCTCCTTCGGATTCCTAAAGTTATATTCCAGTTGAATGGAAGACTGGATGAATTGGATGCTTAACAAATATGTACACATTAAAGAATAACAAAGTATATAGGCTATGGAAAAGGGAAGGGGTGGGGGGAAGAGAAAGCAGGCATTGTCCGCAAGTCGTATTAATGTACTAGTTTAAGTATCTCTTCCTGCTTTAGTCAGTGCCCTAAAGGAAGGGAATTCTTGCAGTCTCAAATCCACGGCAGCTGCAGCAGACTTGCAATTTCCTTCCAAAAGTATGAGCTAGGTAAGCATCCTATCACCTATATCCCTAGACCCTTTCATCCATTTAAATAGAAGCCCCATTACAAGGCAGGGTTCACTAGGATGAAGCAGAGAACCAGCTTGACTGTTGTACTCATTTATTCATCGGACACATTTTTGATAGCATACTTGACCAGGTTTTTATTCAAATAAGCTGTCCCCAATTTTTTCACCCGAATGACATAAAACAGATTTTAATAGTTTGTGTGACCGGTTCCCCCACCCAACCCCTGTGGTAGACTTCTTTTTTGCTGATTGGTTTCCTTTCAACTACTGGTTTCTTGGAAATCGCAGCTTTTCCTGCAAAGACTTCTTCGTGTTCTTAATACCAACAATCTTCTTTCCTTGCCGACTTTCTTGGCCTGTGGCCCCTGCTCTAAACTGTGCTCTCCTCACCCTTTCTCTGCAGATCCTTCCACACAGCCCTTCTCTCACCCCTCTGCATCCCAGCATCTCTGTATCCCTTCTCACACTCCTCTTTGTACTGCCTTTTCATGTGCTCCTTCTTCCTAACTCATTCTTCGCATCCCTTTGCATCTCCTTCTTCTCAGCCTCTTCTCTGCAGCCTCATCTGATTTGGCTTTTTGCTGCCCCTTCTTTCTTTATCCAGCCTTTGTCTTTTCTGGCTGGGTGAAGACTGTGTTCTGTGGCAGGGGCCTTGTGTGTGGGTTTAGCTTCAACATGAATCTCAGGTTCTTCATAGATTCATGTTCAGGAGTCTGATTAATCTTTCGGTGTATGGCTTGCGAGCTCTTTGGATCTCTAGGCTTTTCAAGATGCTGCTGACTTCTATATTGAACATTTGGTACATGTGAAGGCTATAGTTACTCTTGAGGGAAACAGTTTTAAACCTAGCGGCACACGATTCATCTAACTTTCAAAAAACGCTGTTAGTCCAAATGCAGACATCTCCCCCACACCCACCAGGAGCAGTTTGCTTATGTTAAGCAGAGCAGTTCCAGGGATATTTCTGAACGTCTTGATGACACCATTGTCTTCATTACAGATGACTCAGGGTCCCCTGAACTGGATACAATGACACTTTCTCATTTTGCTCTTGCCATCTCTCATTTGTAAAAGAGCATAAAGCTTTTAAAAGTCATTTATTAATTCTTTGAGAATTTCATACAGTGCCTTTTTTTTTTTTTTTTTTTTTTGGTTTTCGAGACAGGGTTTCTCTGTTGGTTTGGAGGCTGTCTTGGAACTCACTCTGTACACGAGGCAGGCCTCAAACATGCAGACATCATCTGTCTCTGTTTCCTGAGTGCTGGGACTAAAGGTATGCGCTACCGCTGTCCAGCCATGAAGTGCCTTTTGATAGTATTTATCCCTTCCCTTGACTCCTCCCAGAACCACCCACCTCCTCCTTACCCACCCACTTTATATTCCTTCTCTTTTAAAATTTATTTTTATTATTTGTGTGTGTGTGTGTGTGTGTGTGTGTGTGTGT